CATAAAAAAAAAAAAAAAAAAACTAGACAGATTCTAATACAGATTCTGAAAGAATGAATATTTTCAGCTATTTTGTATTTAAATTTAATTAAATCAAAGTGGTAGAAAAATTCAATTTTTATTTACATACTTATAATTTTAATGATTAGCTTTGAAAATATTTTATTTGGTGATATAATAATAATAATTTAGCAATGTTATAACGTAGTGTTTCAGTCATTACCTTCGCATTTACATAAACTTACAAAATTGCTGATTTAAACTATTTTATGTTTAAATTGATTTAATTATTAATATAAAATTTTCTATCCTTATGTATTATAAATACATAGCCATATAGATTGATCCATCATTTTACTATGTAGTGAGAAAAGATGGCGCGAATAAAATTTGAGAATGAAAAAATCAATAAATAGTTCGAAGTTTTTGTGCCGCGTCACGTCTTTGCTCTGTTTTTATTGTTAATTCCACGCTTGCAGTACCTATAATATCATCTTTTCTTATGGTTCGAGGCCTGTGTTCAATTCTATTTCGTCCAACTGCGGAAAGCTGTTTACACAGTACATTGCTATAGACAACGGAGCGACAACGTTGGTGCGGATGCCGGACTGCCGGTTCTCTTAAAATAACAGTTTTTCTCATTCTCCTCTTTTCCCCTTAACATGCACATCGGAAAGAAAAGGTGAAAGAACGAAGTAGGGGGAGATGATGGTGCCGAAAGAAAGAAAAGAAGAGAGAAAGAGAGAGAAAACGAAGCGCTCTACTTAAATGCGTACACATTTTTGAAAAGCCACCAATGCTATAGAGGAATACGTGCGCCAGAAGTACTACATTCAAAGTTTATTCGATTTTCCAAAATTTTCCACCAGTTAGATCGACACGTTTCAATAAATACATTATTGAGATTCTTTTTCATTTTGATTAATTTTTATTCTATTCTTCTTGGTTAATCATGAATATATAATTTTTTATATATTATATGATGAACTACAACATCATTAATTTTAAGTACACTTCAATAAAAATTATTTAATTTCAAAAAAATATCAAGTGTGAAATATATACAATTGTGAATATATATATATATATAGTATTATTATATAGTATATTAATAATATTTTCAAAGTATAAAGCATAAATATTCCCAAATCTCTTAAATACTAATTTGGAAAGTAGTCCCTATAATAATGCCATTCTAATATGCCGGATACGATTGATTAAGAGTGGATAAAAATTACATATCGGTACATATTGTGACCTGTATTCGTTTTTAGTTTGGGTACTTCGAGTGAAAAGGCACAACATTATTCCGAATGACGCGCCGGCAATGAAAGGTCAAGGAGCAAATGAAAAGGTGTTAACGAAAGAGAATATATGAGAGTCATTTACAAAAGTAGATAAGACTCTCAAGAACATAAAAGCTTCAAGAGAAGAGATAAAGACGTAGTGCATAATACGACAGAGGTAGAGGTAGAGGTAGAGAGAGAGAGAGAGAGAGAGAGACAGGTAGAGGGAGAATAAGGGATTGATATTTAAAACGTTGGTACATGACCAGTATGTTCGAAGGTGTATGGTAAAGAACGAAAAGTGAATATGTAATATGCGATAAATAGTACAAATACATTCTCATTGATTGTACTTTCTATTTAATGATACTTTATTACCATTATTTTCTTTTGTTAATATTTAAACCGGTATTTTTTTATCATTGCATATTCCATCTATTCTATTTTGAATTTGTACATTTTTTTTTGTTTTATATTAGTATATTAATAAGTGCATTAAAAAATGTTTATTTTTAATAATTTAGGATATGTTAATACAAGTATAAATTTATATATATGTATGTTATAATAAAATTAATTAAAATTGTATTTATGCAAAGTTCTTCTCATATATTCACAATTTTGTATTCAACTTTAAAACACGAATATAAGAATAATTTTAATTAGTCAGAAAATTTACATACATATTATTGATCATATTATTCAATGGAAAATTTCTTACTTAATAACTTAAAAATACTAATAATAAACAAAATAACTTATACGTCACATATTCTATCAAACGAGAACTTTTAAAAAGCTTTCATCGAGCCAACTCAAAAACTCTCATACTTAACAATGGCCAAGTTGCTCACTACCGCTTATCCAGCTCCTCTGCATATGCATACTATTCTCTTCTATACACGTAGGTGAGCATTTATGCTACAATACAAGCATACACGTACATATCCATATACACACCTATATATATATATATATATATATATATATATATATATATATTCTTCAACTTTTGTTCGTACTTACCAAGCTACACTACTCGCTGTTAGCACTCTTGATATCATAAGCCTTTTAGAATAGAAACTTAAAAGAAAATGACAACATAAGTATGTATATATAAGACAGAGAGAGAGAGAGAGAGAGAGAGAGAGAGAGAGAGAGAAAGAGAGAGAGTTGAACTAATAACTTATTGTTATGAAATGTATTTGTATCTAAAGAAGTTGTACTTTCTGTATGATCATGAATTCTATATGTAGACATTTTTATACTGCTTTATATAATAAGTAGTATACCTTCAAATAATTTATTATTGATATTATATTATAATTAAGTAACTGATGTTGAGCAAGATATATAAAATATATACAAATCAATCCAATAGTAGTAAATTTACTATTTGGCAGTTGCATTCCATATAATGCAAGTATTGACAACTATCTACATACATATTTGAATTATTTGAAAAATATATTTAAGTTATTATGCCCATAACATAAAATTCAATATTTATTATTTTACTTTAAAATATTAAGACTTGATAATTAATAAAGATAAATTAATCAAATTTTTTATATAAAATGTGTATAAAACCTTGTTAAGAAGGAGATTGAGATCATTTCTTACAATATTTTCTTTTGTTATTTTTTCTATTTTAATTTTTATTTTGATAATAAAATTTATTTTATTACAAAATTACTTCAAAATGAATGGAAAACATAAAAAATAATCATGATTATTTCAAATTATCCATTGTAATCTTCGAATAAAATTTGTGTAATCAAATAACTTAACATACTTAAATATTGACTAATATGTTATTATATATATTCAATTTTTTTAATAATATTTTATAATACATTTATATATTAAATCAGTATCTATTTCAAGAAGCTATAGGAAATTTTATTATTATCCGATCGATTTTAAAAATTAATTTTAAAACGTTAGCATGTATTCATGTTTTTATTACGTATAACAATTATCGTATGCGTATTATTTCCAAACAAACAGTTTTTTCTTCATTCGTCAGTCCGTATTTCTCTAAAATTCTATAATTAACTTGGTGCAATTGAAAATAATATATTAATACCTACTCAATTGTTATTTTGTCAAATAATAACGTAGCTGAGACAGTAATCTTAATTAACCAATTATTAATAGTTTACTTTTTCCAGCAATATTTTTTTCTTATACATTATTTTTAATATAATCATTGAAGTATGTTTGATCTGAGAATATAGTTTATGCTATAATTAATTAAAAAAAATAGTAATTAATATAAAGTATAAAATTCATTGATATGGAAATAGAAGACATTTATTTAATATTTAAGGATATTAGAAACAATATACAGCTGCTTATGAATGAAATTTCACAAATAATAAATTAATTTTTAAGTAGTTAAATATGTACATTTTCTTATGCCTTCTGACAAAATTGTGGTTTTTAAAATTTTTCTAAAAATGCTAAATTGATATATTATCATCTTAAACTTTGTCATGTTCAGAGTTAGGACCGTACTGTCCAATTGTGTGTTCTAAAACACAAGTTTTGCTAACAAAACCTTTATGAAGATATCTTAAGAATTTACTTCTATATAGACAATTTAATAATATTAATTGTAAAGTGAACGAAAAAAGGAATTTAGCAAACATGTATGACTTTTTAGGCTACTCGATTACCGTAATGATGCACAAATTTCCCACATAATCTAAAGATTTTGCTAAACTGTTAAACTCCTCGCAGAGAGTTCAATTGAATCTGATTCTTTATCGGGTAGTGAGACAACAAGAGAATTCTTTGTGATATCCTTAACATACATCGAGTGTCTATACAAAGCTACTTGGCTACAATACACCCATACATATACAGAGCGTGAAGTGGAAATAATCCATGTGAGCGCATGGATGCGCGCGGGATTATAACACGGTATGTCATAAGCAGATGCCATGATTTGATTCATCAGAACCATATCTTTCTCGCCTCGCCTTAATCGCGTTGTTCAATTGCCGTAAAAGCGGTGTTACATCCACACTACACAACCGAAAATGACGAAAAGGAGCTTCCGTTTTTTGAAAGGACGACCCGCTGCAAATCTATTTTCTTTCATAACTTCCGACTTAACTATTTTGACTATAATATATGAAACGATGTACCCCATTCAAATATTTTATTTTATTTTTTTTATTTTTCCCGCGCAGTCACAGAGAGAAAATTATAATTACCCGATTATTTAACAAAGAAAGCAATTGAGTCCTATTTCAGCAAATAACTTTTCATTACATAGACTAGGCATACGTATTTAAATACTTATTTTTAAGTATTGTGTATATAGATAAAATATATCAAATATATTCATAGTTTGATTTCGTTGTATACTATAATTCATTAACAACTTATAAAGAAAAACAGATATTTATTTTTAATGAAATTTTAATATAGTAAATTCGTTTTTTATGTTAATCTTAAGCCGTAATTCTTTGTTCATGTAATGAACGATTGTTATATTAAAATTGCGTAAAATGCAGATTTGAAAGTTTTTTCAATTTTAATATGTTACAATTATATGCCAATTCAATTGGATAACTTTGAATTTAATCTGCTATATGGAGGTAATGAAATTCATTGGAACTCTCATTAGTTTTGAATGTGTCTTTGTTTGCGTATAATTTCACAACCCATAAAATAAATTAATTTGAAAATATTTTATTACAGGTGAAAATATGGTTTCAAAATCATCGATACAAATGTAAAAGACAAGCAAAAGAAAAAGCAATGGCCGAACAAAATGCACAAAATCAGGTATATTACTTTGTTATTAATATGTATTATTCATGAAATTCAAATTAATTTAATTAATTAATTATTTAAAGTTTAAAATATTTTGATAATATTTTACCATATTTATATATAATTCATGATTTTATTTGAAAAATCATTTTTGATATATTTCAGATTTTTTAGTATCAAGAAGAAAAATTATTTTGTATAGATAAAAGATAATTTATTTATCATAGAATTATGTTAATTAAAGATATGAAATTTTTTCAAATCCCTAATAATAATTCATAAATGAAAATTTATTTGATATTACATAATATTTGGAATACGATGTATATATATTTATTTCTTTATAGTCTAATAGTCAAGTATAATTGGAAACGAATAATTACAATTACATATAAAATGTTGAAATACTTCTATTTCAATGTGCTCGTAATTGCGCATCGAATTATACAATCTTGAATTAAAAATGCATTATATTTTACCTAACCATTACTTAATTCGCGTATTTCTTTAATTAGAAACTAAAGTATGAATTTGAAAAAATTTCTTTATTACCATTTCACGTACAAGATAATAATTTCTATTGGTGAATTTCAGTTGAATATATCGTTCAACAATACAAGAAAAAATAGCATAATATATACTGTAAAGACGTGTCGTGTCTCGAAATCTCTTGGTATGATTAAAAAGCACACTATGACTAGAATGCTCTCAAAGAAGCGCAAAAAGTGCGAATCATGCATAAAAAGTAAGCAAGCGTCGGGGTAGTGACACTTTTTGATCGTCGCGATACTGCGGAACGTAGATGTTGACGCATATATTATTACACAGCACGTATGCAGGATCACGAAGATGCTTAGGCACACATAATTTTAAATATAAATGCCGTGAATACTAGATTTTTATGTCGTAGATGGAATATTGTAATAGCATAATTTAGTCAATGCCCATTTCTTCAGCGGTATTTCCATTTTTTCCTAATACATGGTTTCATAAATATTTCAACAATCCGTATTAAAAGATAGGTAAGAGCTTGATTCATTCAATTGTTTGGCTAGATATAAAGATTTGGAATTACGTTATATTAATGATTGTTTTTTAAACATTAATTTTTTTGTTTTTACATATATCATACAATAAATGCTAAATGAAATTAGTATTCCAAATAAAGAAAATAGAGTTTTAACATTTAAGCAACAATTAAATAACAATTTTTAAGTATAATAACGATATCTTTTTCAATGTGATACTCACGTATAAATAATTATTATGCGAAACTAAATTTTTCTTTTATTTATTTATTTTTTTTTTCTATCATATTAAAAATGTACATGTAAAATGTTTGCTATTAACTCAAACGAAAGTAACGAAACGATTTTCAAGTATATTCAATACTAAGGACTTTCTAGTATTTGCAATATTTAATGTATTTTGCACTTTATGAGAAAGATAAAAAGTTCAAAGCGCATCAATGCGTAAAAGAAAATTAAAGTAAACGAATATAATGTATATTTCATGTAATACGTATGTTGGACTCAAATTCAAAGAAATAGAAGTAAGTCTAGCGGAGGGATGATAAAGAAAATCGCCGTATACTCGACAATGTATTCGTATTGTAACGAACAGTCGATTTAAGGAAACATAAAAATTTTTACCGGCACGATTTAGGCAAAAGATGGAGGAAGCAGAGAGGATGCGCGGCTCAATGCGTTTGATAAAAATCAGTGCATCCGTTGTCATAATAGTAGCGCTTTTAGTCGTGCGTGTGCGCGCAAGAACGCGGAAGCGCGAATGCCGGTTGACGAGGAATTTATATACTCGTAAGGATCGCGATAGCCGATCGACGGGAGACTAATGGCTTAACAATGAGTCTGACATTGTCGCAGACAAACAGCTCGTAAACACGCCATTCAGCATTAATGGAGCTGAAAATAATCTCCCAGAGCCGATCTGCATCCAAAGAATCTCGCGCTCTCTCGTTCTCTCTTCCACTCTCTTTGGCTGCTTCATTTGATTTATTGTATCCGAACTCGGGATCCCCTTTCTGTGTGTATATACAGTACTACCGCCTTCGTGCCCGAACGAGCAGCCACCCCATAATTTACTCGTTAGTTTGCTTTGACCCCCGCGTACGCAAACTTCTTCCCCCATCTATACACATAGAGTGAGAGAAAAATAGAATGAGAGAGAGAGAGAGAGAGAGAGTGCGCGTGTGTGTGCGCGCGTGCGTGCGTGCCTGATCGTGTTCGTATTTATGTTCCTTCGTGCCCGAACGAGCAGCCACCCCATAATTTACTCGTTAGTTTGCTTTGACCCCCGCGTACGCAAACTTCTTCCCCCATCTATACACATAGAGTGAGAGAAAAATAGAATGAGAGAGAGAGAGAGAGAGAGAGTGCGCGTGTGTGTGCGCGCGTGCGTGCGTGCCTGATCGTGTTCGCGTGTGTGCGTGCGTGCGTGCGTGCGTGCGTGCGTGTGCGTGAGACCTATATTAGACGATGTAAAGAAAAATCGACCAAATAACGAAATAAGAGCTAAAGACGAGGCAATAATGAAAGTAGAATATTGTAAATGAAAGTGTATGCGGAGAAAGCAAGAGAAAGAGATTTAAATGAGATTTAAATAATCGAACGCGCGTAGAATGAATTATATTTCTTAATTAAAAGTATTTTTTTTAACTTATTTAAAATATACTATAATAAACAATAATTGCTTCATTTTTGTTAAAGTAGAGATATAGTTAAGAGATACTTTTTTAAATATTTAATACTCGTCGCTCTATCTGTTTTTCTTTTCCTTGTTCTTTCTTCAATATGCCCTTCTCATTGTCTTTTTTATTTGTTTTTATTTTTTACTTATTTTCTTACAGTCAATTCATTGAGTACAACGATATGCGTAATTGCTTGTGTTAGGATTCTACGTGCTTAGGGGTTGTTAGTTTGTCTATCTCGTCACTTGTCCATAAATTCGCGCACTCACGATATGCCTGACTCTCTCAAAATTAAGCTAGCGTCATGTCTGATTAGAGTAGTATTGTGTACGTGACACGATACAAATTTTCTTCACTCAATTAGGCTTGAATTAGCGAATGCGCATAGAATTTCTAACTTTACTTTTTCAATAATGAAATATTAACTATAGATATAATGTATTCCTGTGCTTTGATTTATTCTTTTAATTTAAATATTAAATATTTGATAGACATAATATTATATAGATATATTATTAATATAATAGTTTCATACTTTACTAGTATTACTATTATTATTACTACTACTACTACTGCCGCTGCTGTTACAATTATAAAAACACTATTTATTAAATTAGATTTCGTCTATTCGTGTCACCTATCAATATATATTAAATTTAGAAAGTGACTTTTTAGCTTATTCTAATAAAAATTATATAAATATTATTCTTGATTTAGATATAAATGTAATATATTTCAATAGTAATATTAAACATATTCATTTATTTCGTTAATTAAACCTTTTAAACAAACTTCAAATATAAATGCAAAGCAAATCACTGCAAGATTTTTAATTTTTCAATAAAAATTATATAATTCTATAATTTTATCAATATATTTAATTACATAATAAAGGATAATTAGAAAAATTGTAATAAATCTTATTTACGGAAAGGATTTGTGCAGCAATAATAATTAAAATTTTTCAATCTTATAGACATAATAAGACATTCCTGTAATTATTATTGCATATTATGAAAGGTCCAATTGATCTTATAAATTAATTAAACATTAAACAGATCTTAATGTATAATTCCTTTTTTTTTTTTTTGTATTTATATGTAACATGCATTTACTTATATTGAGTTGTAATTGATTTAAGTACCATCCCCATTCTATTTAATAGACATTTACCACTATGAATATATATAAAATATGGAATATATAAAATTTTTAAAATCAATGATTTATGAAACATACAATTAGTTAATTTCAAATTGATTTAGATTTTTTTTTTCTTTTTCATAAAGTTTAAGGTTACTAAACTTTTTTAATATTATGGCAATTTAAATTTGTTCGTTATTTATTAGGATAAAAGTATATAAACCTTATTTCATTTTCACTAATCTATAAATTTCACTCTATAAAAATATATAAAATATAAATAATTCAATAATAATCTAAATATCATAATTTTGTATAATATAATTAATTGATAATAATGAATAATTTTCATTTTATATTTATAAAATAGAGTTATCATTTTAGTTTCAGAATATATATATATATATATAATTATAATATTTGTTTAGCGAATACAAAAAGTATTATTGCGCATAATAGACACAATGTAAAATTATGACATAACATTATACCTTTAATTACAGTAACGTAATATTGTATTTTTTTTTTTTTTTTTTTTTTTTTTTTTTTTTTTTTTTGTACACATATATACTCATATATATTCCATATTATTATATATTATATATAATTTAGTAAAAGGATGCATTCTTTTGTCTTTTTTACTTAAACACTTTATTAAATCATTTCGTCTGCATTATTGTTGCTGTTCTGTTTCTATTCTCCTATATCTATGTACATCTAATTAAATGTGTTGGTAAAATGTTTAAGAACTCATTAATTTGAATAAAATTACTTCTTAAGAAAAAATTGTATTTATATTTTTTTATTTAATTAGTACATAATTTAATTAGCTTAAAATCTAATTTAAAATAATGGAAAATAGTATTGATAAAACCAGACCTTCTTTGCAATCAGTAAACTTTAATAATGCAGATTAGGAATGCTATTATTATTACATTCTAAGCAGAAATATATTCCTGTTAATAATAAGAAAAAATTAAAGATATAAGATATATTATAAATTTGTGTGTTTGTGTGTGTGCGCGTGTGTGTGTGTGTGCGTGTGTGTGTGCGAGAGAGAGAGAGAGTGAGTGCGATTATACTTTTCTAATATGATATAAAGATATCTAGAAATAAAAACTATCGAATTAATAAAGTATTTTATTTAGTACACTTATAAAAAATTGTTGAAATAATCTACATTAATACATCTATTAAATTTCAGAATATTCGATGAATTTTGTTCATTTTTCCTTTTTAAATATTACATTATATAAAAATCTGAGAAGGAAATTTGATTAAATCATGAAATGCAAAATTGAATTTAATAATTTAATCTCTTTTGATTTGATTTTAAGCTCTCTTGAATCTGCTACGATTATTCAATGTTTTTACTCTTTAGTAATTGAATAGTGAGATAATTATAGTATAAATATAAAAGCAGTAGTTACAGTATTTGTCGTTATTCTTTTCTCTTTATTTATTTACTCCTTTTAAAATTATATGAGAAACTAACTTTTACAATTATTATGATATTACATATTACTATAATATATAAATTAATATTTGGGATATAGATATTAAAATTGATTTATTATAAAATTTTACATAATAATTGCATTTTGACTTAAAACAGTGCTTGTATTTCAAATATAATATCCACAAATATTTAGTGATGTAATGAATATGTATTTTGTCAAAGTAACAAAATCAGTTTCTTTACATCTGTTAGTTATAAATATGGTAAAAATGTTCTAACAATTATGACCATAGTTTTATATTTCTTAATGAATTAATAAATTATAGTTTATTCAATAATCTGTTAAACTAGATTACTGAAGAAATAATTTATTCTTTGATTAAACATGATTAAGCGTCCAAGTATTAATATTTATGCTATATAGTAGAAATTTTTCATTCAATTCAGTTTGAAAATATATTAGAAAAATAAATTTTGTTTGATATAAAAATATTTAATGGCCAATGAAGAAAGTAAGACGAGCATTATTATTTTAGTGAATTATATGTTTATACATGGTAAAGCTAATAATATGCTGAAATAATATATAGACACTATCTGTTGGAATAGTTAACTCGACATTTTACGTCCGGTGATGATTGTTATACTTAAAAATTATAGCTAAGCATATGTTGTACTCGTTTACATAATAGTATCGACATTATTAGAGCTCTATAAACTTAGTACATATTCATACTCATTCGTATGTAAGTACGCGTACATTAATATCCACCGTACGCACACATGTAAAAACAAATATTTTTGCACATACATAAAAACGTATGCACTTATATATTATCATATATACGTGCGCGCTTGCGATTAGCGTTTCCGATGATCTGTCCCGAGCCATTTTCACCGGAAATAATTGCAGTCGTCGTCCTCTCAACCCACTATAATTCAAGAGTAGCTATGCTAGATTGATGTGACGCGTGACTCTCGCTCGGATCTGTAATCAGTGCAAATCATAGCGCGAACCTGTACACACGGCTGTATTATATATCATATCGTAACACGCACATGCACTGATAAAGTGCACTTGGTTACAAATTTGAACGGCGGCGCACGTCGTCAGCGAATTAATTTACGAGCTTGTTTCATTTTCAAGCATCTATAATGTGTCATTATACCTTCTGACTTTAATTTTATTACAAGCATTGGAATATTACGTACCCGTACGTGCATATTTTTTTAATGGCTTTTTTTTTTTTTTTTAAATTCTGACAGGTTTTAAAATTCAATGCAAGTTTCATTAGTACCATATGGCGAAATTTGATTAGGGAGGATAGATAGAATTTTCTTTTCGTTTTTTTTTTTTTTACACAGCCAGCCTATCAACCTCTATATTTTCATGTTTTTTAATTTATATAAATTATTTCAGAACGTAATTAAAAAATTGGCAATTTTACATAATATTTAGAAGGACTAAATAAATTTAAACTAATGTTATTAGAATAAGGGATCTAACTAATCCCCTTTTAAATATTTAAAATATAACTTGTTATACAAAATGTAATTTTCATGTTATATTTTTCTTTCTCTCTCTCTCTCTCTCTCTCTCTCTCTCTCTCTCTCTCTCTCTCTGTTTATATCAATTTTCTTCGAAAGTTACAACGTGTAAGGTTATAAAGATATAACCTTATTGGTTAATATAATTTCTAAGCTAATATTATATATTCGATTATTTATTTAACTCTAGCCGATGTTTCGGAATATTCAATGACTTTCTTACATTGTTCGTTATAGAGATAACGAATTACGTTAAACAACAGAAGCTGACAATAAATTATATACATACATGAATATTTAGCATATTTAATATTAATTTCCTTTTAAATAAAATTTTAAAACATTCTATTATAAAATATTTTATTGATCATATTAAACAAATTTTTATTCAGTATATTTTTATAATAAGGATGCTTATATTAAATAATCAAAATTGATACTACAGTTATAATTTATTTCATATACTTATATCCTTATATTTTATTTTTACTCGTAAATTGAATTAAAATAATAAAATAAAATAATAATCACTAAATTTTCATTGTTTATTTTATACTTCAATTGAAAAACAAGTCTAATCTGTAAATAAGTTTTTTATCAATTTTTCAAAATGTATATATATATATATTTTTCTTCATTTAAATATGATAAATAATTTAGTTTAATCATTACATTATTTAAATGTACTTCCAAGATACTATAAGCCAACAGAAAAGACAAGCTTCCTACTTTTAGAATAAATACTCAAAACTTGATAAATTAGATTAATGAATTCAATTAAAGTTAGAACACAGTTATTAATATAAAATAAGAAATTTTATATATAATTGTAGAAAAATACAAATTAAGCTTTAATTGAAACATTAAAGTATATTTATTAACCAGTAATAGATTAAAACTATTATTGCTTCATTTCCATCAATATATAACCTCAAAATATATATTTTTTCTTTTTAATATTTTGTCTAGTATATAATTATTATACTTCTCAATATAATTGAAATATTTAGCTAAAATATTTAAATTTATGTTTTTATATAACGAAGCATAATTTTGATATTTTATTAAAGTATAAAAAATAGGAGCTAATCAAGTATTATTTTTACATTGTCATATTATAAAGTGTAATATTTACATGAAATATACAATTTGTATCGATAAAAATTTATAAAATTAAAAAGTTACCAGATTTTTTACTTCATTGAAATTTTAAAATTTATAAATTTAATTGTATTGAATTTCACATTTCTAATATTTTCCACACTTGAATAATAAGTATATTGTAAAATAAAAAACAGAGTGATAAGTATGCAGAAGATATTTTTTCTACTGCAATATAGTTACGTGTGATATGTACGAAATTCATTGCGTTATGTCGAACTGAAGTCGAATGAGTGAAAGAGAGTGATATATATATATATATATATATATATATATATATATATATATATATATAGAGAGAGAGAGAGAGAGAGAGAGAAGCATGGTTGTAATACCCAGCGAGATGACAACCACTCAGCTGTATCAACATTTAGTATTCGACATTCCTCTTAGGGATATCGAGGATAGCAAAGCTGCAAGGCATTCGCACATTCTTAAAAATGTCCGACGTGAATGCTCGCATAATGCGAATGATATTGTTGACATGCCTGAGCTGTATGCTCCGTTGACAATTTCTTTTCTTTCTTAAATGCATTGAAAAATATAAAGCCTAGGTATTTCAATTAATTCAATAATGAATAGGAGCAATAAATAATCTTATGCTTTTGAAATTTGGAATTTTTAGTAATTAGGAATTATTGCTCTACGTAATAATGAAATTTATTAGTACGTTTTTTGTAGTAAATAAAAATTGTTTTTAAGAACATTAAAACTCTTATCCTGATATATTGTGTTTTTAAGTACAATTGTTTTTAAAATTTAATGCACAAGTAAAACTTAGAATGTTTTCACTTTTCAAAACTTTGGTACTTACTTACTACATAATAATTGTATTATCCTCACTATATACAATTAAAATTCTACATATTTAATAATTAGTTAATACTTTCTGGCACTGTTTATAAATAAATTGATCGGTAAATAAATCGTTTCCTTTTGAATTATTGTTTATTAATAATATATTGCAAATATTCGTTATATTGTGTAACTACATTATTAATAATTATCGTGACTTGTTTATATTACGAAAACTGTATTTTTATAATAAATTAAGTTGTGTTCTTTAAAATAATGAAACGATGATTGCTCAATGATTTTAATACAATACTTTGAAATATCTATTGCGTGAAATATTATTTATTTAACTATGTAATCAAACTCTGTCAAATCGATTATTCTGCCAAATTAAATTAATTACATAACATCTTCGTCTCTAATGACTTCTGGATAAGTCTAAGTATTTGTTAAAGTTTTTCCATTACATTTTACTGATTACAATTAAATCAATAAATGATTTGTTCCTTTGATACATTTGTTCCTACGAAATAATTCTATTGAATTCAGTTAATTGTTTAATAATCTCGGGTGATTTCAAAGTCCATAATTTCGAATTAAAATTTGTAACTATACCTACCTCTGGGACAAATCGAATCTGAGAATTCATGACTTTTTCCAATGTGCTGCTAATCCTCGCCTGAAACAAATCATATTTTAATGCTTAAAAATAAAAGGTATCCAAACTGATTTTTATAATTTTACTCTTGTGTTTTTTGTTGTTGTTGTGATATGTAATAACAAATTGTTATTCGACCACGCAGCATTAATATATACGGATAAGAGCCAGATAAAATTTATTCTTGTTACATCTTAATTACACCTCTATATAATTTAATTTAAGATATTATGCCAGTTACTATAAAATCAATGCTATATTCATGTTCCAATATTTTTTATTAAAAATTCGTATTGTGTACATGAAGCGTTGAGTATGGTAAATATAATGATAACTATGAATTTAAATTTGAACGATCTGGTAAGACGGTCAAGCAGAACAGAAATTTGTGAGCTTAAGATGTTCCTCGAAATTCTCTTATTGAAAATGTTTGAGATGTATTTAAAAAATGACTCGCGAGAGATATTTGTCATATTGCTAATGGGTTAAGAATTCCGTTTGTTTTAGAGCGCGAGCTCACCTCGGCGAGTTGCGGTGCCGGTGCTGGTGAAAGACGGCAAACCATGCAGCAGCGGCGGTGGTGGCGGCGGGGGTGGCGGTACCGCAGGTGGCGGAGGCGGTAACGAAGCCAGTCGCGGCGGGCCCTCGGCGGCCCTCGCCAGTCCCGCGCCCCACATGGGCCCTGCCGGAGGCAACCCTCACGGAGGCCACCACAGCGCAGGCTCATTGCCTCACCACTCGATGAGCCACGTGATGAACGGCAGCCAGAGCCTCCAGCACTGCTCGTACACCCGGGTTACGGCCAATCAGCAAGCGGCCATGCAGCAACAGCAGCAGCCTCAGTGCGGCGCCTACTTGCCACTCCAGGGTAGGGCCTGGTAGTGCGCGCCGACCGCCGCTGCCGCAGCCGCTGCCTACGCCAACGCGGCTCCGAGCGCGGCGGTCGGACCCTGGGCCCTCGCCACGGAGCCCTGGTACACGGTGCCGGACGACAGCCCCTGAGTTCGACTCGCTACGAGAACGGGTGCACTAGTCGGCCTCCATGTTCCTTCGCTTTGACGAGTCCTCGATGAGAGCCCTGCGTTTGCTTGTCCACACTCGCTTATTGATTCTTTTATCATCGACGATGGAGCTACGGTGGGGTAGATTAAATTATCCGCAACTCCGACTTTCGAACCTTTTTCATCAAATTGCTCTTTCTCTATTGATATTTGGGTTGTGAATGCTGTAATGGTTCGGCACGAGAAGACAATTACTATGAACACTCGAGGCACGCATAATTCGAAATGATAATTTAATTACTACATACGAACACAACAATTCGTAGATTACTTATATAATTAAAAGTATTATGATTCCTTATTACAACAAATAGATAATCCTTATTACTAAAATCTTAACAGGGAAGGATATTCGAGTTGAATAACATGCATAGTAAGGTATTTGAATTTCTTTTAATTTACTATTACTACTTCGTTCTTACTGATTGCAAGTTTAACATTTTGGCTATTGTATTTTATTCTAAGCAAATATCATCGGTAATGTGTACTATAATTTCATCATCATTTATTCGATTCTATTGCTTTTGAAATAAATTTACTCAATACTTAAAATATAGAGTAAAGCATCCATCGTTTTAATTCAAAATTAATATATAAATATGCAATATATTATATATTTATTTGATATTTATTTGAATAATTAAACCTTTGATTCGCCGTACAAATCAAGGTCCATTGATTCTACTTTATAATACTTCAAATTCAATAATTTTTGTAATTGTATAGGCGTTAAAATTCGATGATATTTTGCCGTCTACTTTTTCTCGGTATTATTTATACTTTCAATATTAAACAATTCAAACAAATGTTTCAAGGTTCATCATTATAATATTGACATTGAAAGACTTGTCTTAATCACAATAAACCTTATTATGTATTTTTATTAAATTTAATTAAGGCAGACAATCAGTTTTTAACTGATTTTATGGGCCGAAGTCAATTTATATATATATATATATATATATATATATATATATATATATGAGATATAATTTAAAACATATATATAATCAATTAAAACTATTAACTTAAAAATAAAAAGATTTTTGTTCATATAATGTTACCATTGCCTAATAAATACAATAAAAACGATTATATATATTATTGTGAATGTGAAATTAAAGAAACGAATGATGTGTATATCACTCAAAAAATATATTTGAAATATATGAACTTTTACGAATACTGTCTTAAATAACTCTATCTAACAATTTTTATAATCGTAATATTTTATAAAGTTAACATCTTTAATATTAAATCAACTTATAAAACTATTTTCTTGAAACAGTTTTTTAGAAAAGTTAATCAGGAATGATAAAAAGAAATTAAATAGACGATATGTAAAAAAAGCATATGCTTTAGTCTATTTCATTTAAGTCACTGTACACGACACACACTCACTCGCGCGCATATATTCTGAAACTTTTCATGAAAAGATATTAAATCACGTGATGATACATGTGTCTGTGGAAAATAACTCTTACGTTATAATGTTTTTCATTCATTTTGTTTATTTACAACAAGAATATGACTAAAATGTTTCATTGGAATCGAACAAAAACTGTGATACGCCATTTCGTGATATACGTGGTATATTAGTAGGATTAAAAGCATACATGATTTAAGTCTAAATTGCCATAAAAGTCATGTTTATTTCTTTAAATGTACCAACGTTTTTATAATATAATATACTTTTTTATAATACAATACTATAAACTAAACATCCAATATAGAAATTTATATTATTCGAATTACTTTATTACTTTGACAATATATTTAAAACTTGAATAGAAATGTAATATTAATAAATTATTCTAAATAAAATTTACATTATTATATCATTTTATAAATACTTATATGATTAATAACATATATTTTTTGTTAATAAATTAATTGGAATCAATTTTATATTTTTGTGAAATTACGTAATAATTATATATATTTATAATATTATTTTCTTCTCTTACAACAAAAGATATCAACATATATATGAATATGTATGTATATATATATACACACATACACACGCACGCACACACACACAAACACACACACAGATATATATATATATATATATATATATATATAGAATTATTCAATATATCAATTAAATCAATTAAATTTCTAAACTGGATGTTTATGCATAGGCATTAAAAATTTTAAAGACATGGTTGGCTCATTATTAATTACTCAAATACTTTCTTTTCGCTTCTTATATTATAAATTTACAATAGAATTTTGGAAAAACATATTGTCAGCACTTGAAAAATACACAAATAAAAAATACAACAATATGAAATTTTTCTTAGTTATTTATGATATAATTCATGTTAATCAATATCTACAAATTTTTTCATATTGAAATATATTTAAATTAATTTAAAATCACAATACACAGCTGTACTAATTGGATTTTACTTCGCTTACATCCGTTTCGTGTGCAGTAATTCAGCTTATAGTTACAAACGTACGAATTGATAAAATAATGTGTCGGTGATATTAAAATGTTTATTCATAAATTATAAAAATATCATATATTGTGCCACGTTAAAAAAAATTTAATAATATTAAAAATTCACTATTGTATAAAAACTCCCTATCGTTGTTCAGTTTACTATAAAAGAGTAGTAAGACGATCAAAATTATTCAAATTATTTAATCGATTGAATTTCTTTAGCAAAAGTAATTTTAAATATATTTTGATAAAAAATGAATATCATAAAATTAATAAGATAAATTATATTTTTATTTTATGATTTCAATATTATACACAAATAATTTTATTTGATAAATTGAATTTGATTAATATTATTTGATAAAATATATACGCATTTAAATATATATGTATGCATAAAATAATAAATCCGTATAATTTTTTCTTTTAATTAAAATTAAATATAGGCCTTACATACTAAATCTATTAGTAAACTATGGATTTTTAGATAAATTTAATATATCATTTTATACTTATATTATGTATTTAATGTTAGAAAAAGTTTAATAATATATATTATTATTCAAAAATTTTCATATATATCAAAACAGTATCATAATATTATTTTTCAATACTTTGGAGACAAATTTTTTATTGATTTGAAATAATTCAAGTATGATCAGAAGATGAAATAATAATTATTATGAAAATAATTATTATGAATTAATTATGAAAATTGCCATTCGTTATTGTTTTCATTTTTATAAGGAATAACAGAATATAAAAATACCAATAAAAATTTAACGATTTACTGCATGAAAAATAAAAAACATTACAAAATTCAATTTTCTATTTTTATATTTTTTTCATTTAAAAGGAAAGCATGGAACAAAATAAAGGATATTTATATAGCAAATAACATAATGATGATGAAAAAATCCTCTTGACAAGTATGACAAGAGAATAGTACAAATCGAGCACCAGTCATAAAAAATTAACAAAAATAAAAAAAGAAAAAAAGCATAAAAGTCATATTTCGGTATCAACTGTGCATGGCCAGTAGTACTTAAAAAATACAAAATATAACTGAATTCTTTTATTAGCTCACAACAAGAATAAAACGAAATAAAATATAATAATACACCTTTGTACATCAGAAATTAAAATAAATAGGCCGAAGAGCGGAGCTAGAATATTAATGGAGAAATCATGGATGAAAATATGCATGCAAGATGATTTTAATGCATATGTACTTACGAATATGTATATGTGTGGGCGTGTGAATAAAGATATTCAATACGTATACATATGGATGTGCATACGTATATACATATATTTGCGCAAGGATTATGTATATGCGAATATATATATATATATATATATATATATATATATATATATATATATATTTATGCGTATTTGTACCTTTGTGCGAACGTATCTGTATACACATGTATTGTGTGCGTGTGCGTGCGTGCGTGCGCGTGTGTGTGTACATATATACATATGTTTGCTTATAAACATATACATACGTTTTCTAAGGATATTTAATGAATTAGATGGAACGATTGTCGTACTCGAGTTTATCACATTTTTGCGCTATATTATTGAATAGTGCAATTGAGTTGCCATTGCCAGTGCAACATCAAACAAAACGGATACGAGAGAAAAAAGTAGAGTTAAAATATAACAGAACATCCGCCGTATATGTCTTTATATATGTACATAAAAATAATGTAGAATGTCCAATAAGAACCGAGCTTTGTACCGTCCGTTGTCGGATTGAGCGAATGTTCCGTGCTGTAAGATAAGTGCACGAATTAAGTTAATTTTATGAAATTATAGTGTATATGAATTCAATGAGTCATTTATAAAAAGACTTGCGTTTCTAAGCAACGACAGAATATTTTTCCACCTGTTATGTTATAAAAAATGTATTTTCCCATTGGACGAGAAAAACAATGTATCGATAGATTTATAAAAATTGCGAATGTATTTTATAATTATTTTTTATTAATTTAAAATAATTAATTAATTGTTTTCTTCTTCTTTTACAGATATTTGAAATCGTTGGTGATGTAATACGTGTGTAGTACTGCATTCAATCCAATTTATATTGATAGCAATAGTACAGTTGAAAAATTTTAAAGTATAAAACATAATACTTATTAGTGCTGCATGATTGTTATATTCATAATGTGTATTCTCAAAATAGCCAATATAATTTTATGAATAATAAATAATATTTATTAATAAGTAGTGTTGCTTATGTAATATAAATTTAATTAATTATTTATTTTAAATGTCGTATTAATCATTTGATTAACACGATAGACACATTTATTTCATGTGTTAATTAGAGCATTATCTTCGATTATTGTATTTTTCGTCCATAAGGAATATAAAAAGATTCGTTGTAATTAGGTGCGTATTACAAATACGATGCGAAATTTCTCCCGTTGTCAACGAATCTCTAAAAGTATAATCTTAACAATAATTGGACGTTTTTTTTACATAGCTTTGTATTGTGATACTAGAAATCACAGTTCAGTTGCAAAATGTATATAAAGATTTTAATGAAATAAAAAGCGATACATAATTACAAGCCCCATTAAAATAAAAATGAACGAAAGGAAATATAATGTTAGACGAGTGCGTGAATTCTGAAATTTAAGTTACATTAGATGTATCGATTATAAAATGATGAAATAAAAATACGCGCGTTCGAGGACCTATAGTAAGTAGTACATATGTGACGCTGACGTCTGAAAATA